GAGGGGAGAGGGAGGCCAGCACCTGAACCACAGAACCGCACCCTGACTTCTGCCACTAGGGGGCGAGGCAGTGCCCACAGGCCAGGAGGGAGATGCAGGCGTGGAGTCAGCCCTGCCCGGCAGGCTCCTGTGGTGGCCAGAACTGGGTGCCTTCTGTGCAAGAGTCCACACTCTTGGGGCTGAGCGGGGAGTCTGTTAGCGGAGGGCAGGCGCCAGGCCAGAAGGGGTAAAGGACAGCAGCCAGCTCAGGCCCCAGTGAATCCTGGCAGGAGCTCAAAATAAATGTCCTCAGAGACTGAAGGGAGCCTGCTTTCCAGTCCTGAACTGCACTGCCTGGCAACAGGACCCGGGCTGCTGGCCCAGCAGCGTCAGCCTGGACAGCAGAACCAAGACTGGTCGACAAACCTGCCTCCCTCGGTTTCCCCGTCTGAGTCCGGGCCTTTCATATTCATGCTGGGCATCAGCACGTCCTTCAGCGCACTGTGGGACTCAGACGGGGGCATATCTGGCTGGCCCTGGCCTTACTGGCTTGTCCCCACAGGCGTAGGCCGGGGAGCAAGGCCTCACATGCCGGCATGCACAGCCGCGCTGAGCCCCGATGTCCAACACAACGGCCTGGGAGGGAAGGTCCTGCTCTCCCTGGGTCACAGGTGAGAGCAAGGCTGCCCAGGAGCCAGGGGTGGACTGGGCAAGCATGGACCTGGCATGAAGTGAGGGCAGGGGCGGCCTACTGCCAGCAGGGAGGTGCCCATGGGCCCCACACTCTGCTCCGCTTTCCTCTGGGGCAGGAAAGCTTGTCACGCTGAGTTCAGAACCTACTGAACCCGGCTCACTCCTCTTGGTTCAGTCATCCTGACTCAGCGGACGCCTCTTGAGAAGTGTGTTGGGGGGCACAGATCTTCCTTGTCCCCAAGACACCTTTTCCTTGTGGGTCTATGCTTGTGGTGGTGACGCGAGGGCCAGGCACGTGTGGGATGAGGGGAAGGCCCCCTTATGGGCCCCTGCCCTCACCATCTGCACGGCTTTGCCAAGGTCACAGTCGGCAAAGATGATGAGTGGCGACTTTCCGCCCAGCTCCAGGGAGACCTTCTTCACGTTGCTCAGGGCGCAGCTGGAAGGAACAGAGGGTTGGTGGCTCGGGGTGCTGGGACATAGGGGTCCCCGGTGGAGGGGGCTGAGGTAGACCCGAAGCTTATATTGCTCTAGCCTTGGGCGGGAGGCGCCTGCCCACCCACACTCTCAGCTCCTCCTTCTCCGCCATGGCTGTGGGGAACCCAGGCCACCTCGGGACCTTTCTCCCACCACCCCCTTCCAGACCACTCCTTCTTCAGATTCCCCCAGCCCGGCCTCCTTCGAGGCCTGTGCTCTAATGGCACCTTTGTAGGGTGCCTGTCCCGATCACCTCCTAGGCCTCACTGTACATTTGTGTCTGACTCCACTGCCAGGCTCTTACCCCCTGGTGTGTCTGCGCCTGATGCCCAGCACACAGCTGGGGCTCCATAAACATTCAAAGAACACAGAAACCCTCAAACATAGAACCATCGTCCAGCTGGGACACAGGGACTTGAGTCTCAGATTTTCAGTGACCTGGGGGCCCTGAACTCCCCAATGGCGGCCATGGAGCGAACATGCTGGTACTGTCTGCACAGGGGCAGCAGGGCTGGGCAATCTCCTTGCCCACAGCTGACCATGAGAGGAGGGCCCTGTCACAGAAGCCAGTCACTGGGAAACTGGCAAGGATCCCTGCTGCCCACCGTGCCCTCCTTCGCTGGCATTCTCAGTGCCCATGTTCACCCTGCCCTCCCGCTGGACTCAGCACACAGGCTCTGGAGTGACCATCACCCGCACACCACACAGGAGACACCGGCCTTCCGTTCAGGAGTGGTGAGTAAAGCACCCGCCTCCTTCCGTCACCTGCTTGCCCATCTGTCTGTCCGTCACTGGCTCCCTCAGCCTCTCTATACCCAAAGGCTTGCTCTGGGCAGTCCCGGATGCCAGGGCACTGAGACTGAATCTGAGCTGCCCACCTGGCACTCATCAGCCTCTACCGACCCGAAAGACACCACACACTAGCCGTTGTCCGTGGCTCCCGAACCACAGGGCTCTCGTGGAGCCACGAGCGTGGGGCCCACTCAAGTGGGGGTCAGGACCTGCGCTGCGGTGGACCAGCTCACAGTGGGGCAAGAACCCCACCTCACTAGGCACACCCGCGGGAAATGGGGTGGGGTCTGCAGAAGTGCCCCGGGGGAAAGGACAATGTAGCTCCGTCTGGAGCTGCTGTGAGGTGTGGTGTGGGTAACACCAGAGGAGCCCTTCTCCCTGTGGGTCATCAGGCTGGAGCTGGAGGGCCCTGGAGGCCACGTGAGTGACCCCTGGTGGTCACATGTGGTGGTTGCGTGTCCTCAGGGCAGCGTCCGAGGGCCTTCGGAGCCCCCGAGCCTCTGGGCTTGCACTCACTTGCAGAAACTCGGCTTCGGGCTCAGGGGTGAGGCACTGCGTCGCCCTCAGCCTGGCCCTCCCTCTCCCAACTACTGACTTCTGACCAGAACCACCGAGCCTGCCGAGCCCCCTTCACTGAACTGCTAGGAAATGGAGGCCTGGATGGGTCAGGGCTCACCCAGGTCATACTGCACGTCAGCACCTGAGAATACAACCCTAGTCAGGGGCTTGAAGTCCAGAGAGGTGAGCAGAGGTTCTCGGTGGACAGCACCCTAGGAGGGCGAGAGCCCCAGGTGCCAGCCACGTGTCATCCTTCACTAGCCAGCCAAAAGGAAACTAAAAAGAAGCTGGTGAAATTAACTCTAACATATTTTATTTAACCCAATTCATCAAAAATACACTTTCTACTTGTGATCACTATCAAAAAAGTCAATGAGTTGCTTTATTTTTGTGCCAGGTTTTTGACACGCGGCGTGTCTGACCCTCAGGCCACATCTCAGCCCAGAGCAGCCTGTTCTGTGCCCTCGGCAGCCACACGTGGCTCCGCAGAGCAGCCCACCGCCCTCCCCAAGGGCAGGCTGGACGCCCGCATCACGCCTGAACACTGGGCTGTGTGACCACGGTGCACACAGAGGCTTGGGGAGCGGGGTGGTACCCCCCAGTAGGGCCCTGGCCTGACACTGCCACACAGCCGTGGCTCCTCCCATGTCCCCACTTACCTTTTCATGATGTGCTTTCCCACCTCGGTGGAGCCTGTGAACCCAATTTTCCGCACGTCAGGGTGGTCTGAGAGTCTCTGGCCGACCAGGGAGCCTGCGGTGGGAGTGGGCAGGGAGTCAGGGTGGTCCCCACATGGCGGGGTGGGAGACACAAGTCTTCTCCCTCCCACATGCCCCAAGGACAGAGCTCTGGGGAGCTCGGGGCCAGGGTGCCCAGGGCTTGCTGGGCCAGCCTGCTCGTTACAGGCAGAGTTGTGTGCCTCAAAGCTGAGACCTTGAGTATTTGAGATGTGGACTTGAAAAGCAGGTCTTAAAGAGGTGAGCAGCATTAGGGTGGGGCCCCTATCCGAGCCCACGGGTGTCCTCCTAAGGTGAATGTTCTGCCCCCAGGCTCCGTCCTATGTGGCAGCCATCAGGAACCTGGAACCTGCAGGTAAAGCAACCTTCGCCCACACCGATGACCAAGGAACAGCAAAATGATCTCAACAACCACACAGGCCCTGCCGTCCCCACCCCACAGGCATTCCCCAGAAGTCAGGACAGTGGTGAGCGTGAGATGCCAGTCTCTTTCCCTCCCCATATAGACAGCACTGACATTTCTTTAGGTCAAGATAAGAGATTGAAAGATTTCAACCTAATAACAAAAGCCAGAAGCCCTCTGCCAAGAATGATTACATTTTAACCAACGATGGCTGTTCATTTTCCTCAGTGCTCTGCTCTGTAACAAGGTGCTCTGTAACAAGCGCTCTGCTCTGTAACAACTCCAGCCTGTGACAGCAGTTCTCACAGGTAAACGCTACGAATGCTTCAGGTTCAAGTCCTCACCTTGGTTATCTAATAAACTGTTTGTCTAACTGCCTTTGAGACCTTTCTTTCTTTTTTAAGGTTTTATTTATTTTTGCGTAGAAGAACTGGGGTGTAGGCCAGAGGTGCAGGGGATGATGAAAAGATTCACCAGAGATAGAGTGGAGAGCAGAACAGGTGGATTTACTGAAATACACTGCTGAGGAAAGTGACGAGTGAGACACGTGAGGTCTGCTGGGCGATGGTGGGTCACCTCTCTGGCCGGGGATTGAACTCAAGTCAGGCCACTGTGGAGGGCTGTTTCAGTGGCAGCGCTGAGACTCAACCTCTAGGCCACCAGGGAGAACTTTATTTCAGTTAGCAAAGAGGACTTGAGGACACAAATGCTCACGGGGGGACAGGCCACACAAGAGATGCCTCCAAAGAGACCAACCATCATTCAGCTTCCAGAGCTGTGAGAAGAGAAATGCTTGTTTAATCGCCTAGCCTGTGGCGTTTCGCTATGGCAGCCTAAGCAGACTCACCCTGCTCCCCTAGGTGACTTCCCACCTGTTGGGGTAGACCCCAAGTGAAGGCACCCAGACTTCTAGCTCTTCCAGAGCGTCCAGCAGAGACAAAGGGACAGCTGGCTGGACTCTGGGGACAGGGTGGCACCCTAACATCACAGACTCCTAAAGGGTGGTACTTGGGGTTTGCCTGGCAAAAGATTGGGGAGACGCAGGGGTGGGGCAGGGAGGGGGGTCCAGTTTGCAAAGTTTGGATTCCAACCGCCCCCCTCCCAGGTGGCTAATTCTTACTGACCCTCACGTGATCTCAATGTGACTTTGTGGTGGCCTCTGCTAAAACTCAATAAAATCTCTCCCTCCTTACTTTCTTCTCAAGGTAGGCTTCCGTCTCTCCTAATTTGCCTCCTCCTCTTTGACTGATCTATCTTCTCTATCCAACCTTAAAATACCCAGTGCCTCTGGCCCATCCTGGGTTCTTTTCTGTTTTCATCTCACGCTGTCTCGGGTGCTCTCACCCCGGTTCACCTCTTCAGCTGCCACCTTCAGGCACATCACCTGCTAAATCTGGGTCTCCAGCCCAGCTCCTCTGGGATCCAGATCCATTCATCATGCCTCTGTCTGCTCATCACCTCTCCTCGGATGGCACGCCGCCTGTCAATTTCAGCATATTTAAAACTGAAGCTTAAGCCTCCCCCAGACCTGCTCCTCCTTGGCCTCTCCAATTCAGTAAACATCCTCTCCGTGCAGCCCCCTGCCAAAGTAGCTTTCTGTCCTTTCCACTCAACTTTTATTTTTATTTTTTTTAAGATTTATTTATTTATGCATACAGAACTGGGTGCAGGGGTGGTGAGAGGAGTCACCAGAGATGGAGTGGGGAGCAGAGCAGGCAGACTGGAGAAGTACACTGCTGAGGGGAGCAGCGGGTGGTCAGGAGAGGGCTGCTGCGCCATGTGGGTCACCCCCAGGGCCGGGGATAGAACTCGCAATGGAGTGACTACATCCAGCTTGCAGTTCTGCGCCACCAAGGGGGGCCCCACTCAATTTTTTAATAAACCCAATACTCCGAAAAATCACTGCTTTAGGCTAAAACAGTGGGAAAGAAGTCGTCATCGATCAGATGACAAAGAACTCTTACATTTTAGATAGCAGGAATCTGACAAGCTATTATGGGTTGGTTTGTGTCTCCCCCAAATTTCTATGTTGATGTCCTGATCCCCAATATCTCAGAATGGGATCTTATTTGACAAGAGTATTGACACAGAGACTCAGGAGAAATGCCACGTAAAGATCATGGTAGAGATGGGGGAGACGTTCTACAGTCCAGAAAGAGGTGAGGGGAGATTCCCCCTGCTGCCTTCAGAGGGCGCCTGACCCCACCAAACCGTGACCTCAGACTTCAGGTCTCCAGAAGAGCGACAACACCCTAGTCTGTGGTTCTTGGTTCCAGCTGCCTGATCAACTAGCACACAGGATGGATTATTTGACCCTAATAAAATTAGAAATAAACCAAAATTTTAGACAAAAAATCCTGGAACATTTAAAAAAAATCTCTTTTTAGTTACTGGGTCAGAAAGGAGATTAAAGTAAAATTATATATTATTCATGAGTAATAAAAGCATGCACCAAAACACTGCTCAAAAACATGGACCAACACATTGTTCACATTTTTCATAAGGCTGGAGTCACTTCTAGAAGGCCAGCATGAAGAGTGCTGAGACAATTCCCCAGGGCAAATTATTTTAAAAATACACAGCCACGAAAAGCCTCTGGCAAAGTTCAATGCTCAGGGCATTTCAAAAACTGTGGAGTTTTGGTGGTGAGTAACTATGAGGAGGCCGATAGCCCCAAAGGCACTAAACGGAAACCATAACCGGCTTGTTTACCAGTGAGACCTGAGAATTTCTGGGTGAGGACAAACCTCCAAGCAGGCTTCAAAATCTACCCTCCATGGGGCCTGGCCTCACTTGGATCTGACTGTAATAATAGGCCCCAGGGTATTGTTGGAAACAATAGGAAGGCCAGGCTGTGTCAGTGCAGCTGAATTCTGGGTTCAGCTTATCCAAGCACAGCTTCACAAAGGGTGACTGGGTGTTTGCCCAAGGAATTGACACCAGAGTAACTCAGCAGGAGCAAATGAAGAAAACCAAAGAAAATGAGGTTAATGCAACAAATCTTATAAATATACATTTTCCCTCCTTCCCTTTCGGTTTCTTTAACAGACATCAACTTATATACAGTAAAGCTTATAGCAATGCATTGTTGGGTTTGTACAGACACAGATGTGAGGTTCATAAAATAGGTGATAATAGCACAAAACTGAGAAGAGGAAATAGAGCTACATGGGAATTGTATCTAGCACTAGAATTAAATCAATATGACTCTGAAATTGATTTGGTAAGTTAGTCACAAGCCAGAGACTGTCAGACTGAATTATAAAGAGGACTTGGCTTCTACAGGAGACATGAGAGTAAGTTGACTCGATTGTGAATAATAAAAACACGCACCAAAACATTGTTCAAAAACATAGACCAAAATATTGCTCACATTTTTTTTATAAGGCTGGAGTCTCTTCTAGAACAGGTTGAAGATAAAGGATGGGAAGAACAGCTAGAGCCAACAGCAATCACAGAAAGCAGAGTGTTCTACAGTGATGTTTATACCATATTTAAGTCAGATGAAATGGACTTTATGATAGATACTATTACAAGGAACCAACAGGGACACTTATAGCGAAGTGTTCTTTAAAAGGTCTGAGGTGATGGTGGGTAAGGACAGAGAAACTGGAAAGAAGGCACCACAAGACCAGAAACCTAGCTCACACAATGCCAAGGGCTGGAGGTGGGAGCAGGAGGGATCAGCATGGCTGTTGGGGGAAGGATGTCTTGAACAAAATCTACAGATACAGGTTTTGTGGACACCACCCCCACCCCAGACATCAGAACAGCAAATCCCAGCATCACCAGAAGGTAGGTGCTGGGACTGGAGGGTGGAGTTAAGCAGCCAGGTTTGAGGGGCTCCTGGCTTTGTGGCTTGTCTCTTGGCTTTTCGTCGGCTTTCAGCATGCTATTGGGGTTCCAGATCAGCAGAACTGGTAGGACACATTAACCAGTTTATCTACATTAACCAGTTTATCTCTCGCTTTCTCTCCCTGAGTTATTCACTTCCCTTTCTCTTATAAATAAACCCATTACTAACCTTTCTGTGTGTGTGCCTGTAGTTGCATGTTGTAAGTCCCTTTAAGCCCACAGGTGAGGACCCACGGTCAGGCAGCCCAATTCACACGGGGTTGCCCCGTAACATGGCCATTAAGCCAGCTACAAGAACTGAGATCCCAAGGCGCCAATGCCTAGATCACAAAGCACAAGATCCAAGGGGAATCAAACTGCTGTAGAGCACAGACCTGAAGGTAAAGATACGGTAACTGAACCCTTGTGGAATCTCCTATCCCTTTCAGATTCTACACAGTTTATTCAAAGTCAACAGCAATCAGGCCACTCCATGAAGGAGTGAGCCCCTCCCAGACAGAAGGAGTCTGTATGAGGGCAGTCCCTGCCCTGGCCAGACAGCAGTCCTCTGCCCACCTGTCCCCATGCCAGGTGCTTCTTTCCAATAGCTCTGTCCCTCTGCAGGGCAGCAGTCTCCTGCACCTGCCGGGGGTTCTCTGCACTCACCCCCTCAGTGGAGGCTGCTCTCCTAAGGCCGCCCGCCTGCAACCATGCAGGCCTCTCAGCAAACCTGCCCATTTGTGTCTATATAGGTGTCTTTTACTCCTCTGTCCTTTTCCTTAATAAACCTGCTCTTTAAATGTCACTAACGTCTCTGTCTCATGGAGAAACCCACCTAGGAACTCGCCAAATGCCGCTGAAAGGGGAGCTCTAGGGAGACCTTTCCAGAATGAACCCCAGGACCCCGCACTCCTAACCCACTGAATCCAAAACAAAAACATCATGAGGTATCACCAAAACCTGCTTTAAATCCTTTCCTTATTGTTAAGCCACAAAAAAATAAAAATAAATGTATTAAATGCTTAGCTCAAAAAAAGTACAAAAATTAGCACAAAGGACAGAATAATAAAAGCAGAAAAAAGATAAAACAGAATAGCAATGGAATGGGTATAGAAATTTGATTTTTTTTTTTTTAGGGGATGTAGGGACATTGAGAATCTCCCAGGGAGCAGGGGCAGGGGACATTTTCCATAAATTTTACAATTTAAGAAGAGAAAAAAGTACGAAATAACAGTAGTCAAGAGGAGAATTAAAAATGGAAATAACTCTAAGGAATTATTAATTCAACATTATGCCATTACATCTTTAAATGTGCATAAGAAAAGACAACTTTTCCAATAAGTAGACCACTAACCAAGGAGAAACTAAAAAAGCAATCAGCATCCTACCTCCCCAAATGCTCTAATTCTAGAATGTTCTACAGATAAATTGTCTCAAACTTTCAGGGGTAGGTAATTCCCAAGATATATAATCGTGTAATTTATTCCTAAGCACATATATACATAAAAAATAGAAAAACATAAAAAATAGAAAAACATCTGGAGAGGCATTTGAAAGGTAACACCTTTCCAGGTGGGGGGCCTGGCCACCCCCACCCCCCAGCCAGCTCCACCCCTCCAGGGCACATCATGCAGCGGACCGGCAATGACCCAGTGCCCTCAGAGGTCCATCCTCCCCAGTCCTTACCAGATCCAGGGAGGATGTTGACCACGCCCTTGGGAATGCCAGCCTTCAAGGTCAGCTCTGCAAATTTCAAGGCTGTGAGTGGGGTCACCTGAGGAGCAGGAAAGAGGAGGGTCAGGTGGGGATGGAAGTGAGAGCAAGCACATTCCTCTCCAGGGGGTCAACAGCCAGCGGGAGGAGCCCTGTGCAGAAACACCCCTGGGGGAGCCATGCTTGTGTCTCACACAGTGGCTATGGCCAACCCAGAACAACTTGCCCCACAGCTCCTGCTGGGAGCTGGGACAAGGGCCTGCTAAGCTCAAGGGGTCTTTCTAGCCCATTCTCCTGGTCCAGGGTCTGAACCAGGACTGAGTCCCTCTCGGGTTGTTTCCACCAAGGCCTCAGGAGAGCAGAGTCCTAGCACTGCCCAGCAGGGGCTCAGCCCACAAGGCCCAGAGTCTGTCTCTGGACATGGTTCCACCTCAGCTGCCCCTGCCCCTCCTCCCTGGGAGATTCTCAATGTCTCAGTGCAGCTGGATGCTGGTGTGATTCTGATGACCACGCCTGGCTGGAGACTTTTCCTGTGCCCTTGACCACCCCCATCTCCTCAACCTCCATCATTACTTCCTCTTCTGAAGGAAGAGAAAATATATTTCTGACCCAGGTAACTTTGCCCACTCACTCACTAACCAACCTCAGCTGAACCAATGTTCTGTAGGGGTCTAGTCTAAGGATGCTCAAACCTCAGTGGAGTTGGGCCAGACGGGCCTTCAGGGACACTCCTTGGCCTGCTGGCAGCCCTACCCCATTAAAGGGGAGGTTAAGGATCCTCTTGTAGCATTATATTGTGATGCTTACATAGATGCATGTAAATGTTCTGCAGCTTGCTAGTATGTTGAAACACTAGAGAAATGCCTGCGTTAGGGTAAACAGTATAAATGTCAGCTAGCAGCTCCCCTTTGGAATGTCCAAAGGAAATGAAAAGGCTACCTGAAAAGACACCTGCACCCTTTGCAACAGCCAACATGTGGCAGCAGCCCAAAGGTACACGGACAGAGGTATGGATAAAGAAGACATGGTAGATACGCTAACATCCCCGGAATATTACTTAGTCTCAGAAATGACATAGGCCGACCGTCAGTGACAATGTGGATGGACCTGAAGGCATTACGCTAAGTGACTAAGCCACAGACTTAAACAAAACAAATACTGTATGATCTCACTATGGAATCAATTAAAAAAAAAAAAAAAAAGAAAACAAAACACCCCTACGAAAGAGAGACCAGATATGCAGCCACCAGAGCAGGGGGTCAGGGTGAGGGACTGGACGCAGGTCGAGAGTCTAACTCCAGGCACCAGGGGAGTTGGCCCAGGTCAGTGCTGTGGGGTGATGCACAGGAAAGTTTTAGTGAGTCCCAGGAGCTCTCATCATAGAGGAAAGAGTTTCCTTCTCCTTTTTTTCTTTTTCTTTTCTTTTCTTTTTTGTATGTATTTGAGACAGGTGCTCAGTAAACTTCCTGAGGCATCAACACACAACAAAGTGAAACCTCTGCCCTGCAGACCTTAACCTGACCTGCATTAATTCTTTCTTAATAAAAGTGCAAGAAAATAAATGTCAAATGTCATCATCGTTCTTTTTATTGTTGCTATGTTCACATCCTTTGGGGCCACAGTGCCCCCAAGAAGCTGGGGGACAGAAAGACTTCCCCATCCCGGGTGCTTGTCTGCTCCTGACACCCTCAGGCAAGCCAAGAGGGCTGTTCTTCCCAGGATGCAGAGGGGGCTGAGGCTCATGGGAGGGTGTCCTCACCCCAGGGTGGTCCTTAGGCCCTGACATGCGGCTCTGCATCCCTTCCCGGGGCTGGGGTGGCAGATGCAGACCTCACCTGAGCCTTCGTCCCACTCTGTGTCAGCAGAGACCCCTCACTGTCTCGAGTACAGGGCCTGGGCAGGGGAAGTGGACAAGGCTCCTGCTCCCCTGAGTCTGGGTGCTGATGTCCAGAGAGAATTTCCCAATTGTGCTCACTGCGGTGTGGCTGACCCGACTCAGCCACTTCATGGCCCAACGGACCTGAAGGCCACTACTGCCCACTGCGCTGCCCACTGTGAGGGGCCCCGAGGAGCCAGTCCTCCCTCACCAGGGCTGTCCATCTACCCCCTACAGCAGGCCCCGCACCCACCTGCGCCGGCTTGATCACCACGGTGTTGCCCGCGGCCAGGCAGGCGGCTGTCTTCCAGGAGAGCATCATCAGGGGGTAGTTCCAGGGGATGACTATGCCACAGACCCTGCCGCGAGAGAAGTGGGCCTTGGTCTCTCCCCTCGGCCGAGGGGCCCAGAGGGAGCACTCTGTCCTCATCAGCTAAAGAGCTGTTTAGATGCCAGGGCAAGCATTTCTACCACGTCTGATCACTGCTCTGTCCCCAGGGCCAGACACATGGCTCATGGCAAACAAATAACTGCTCGATAAATCCATTAGAGGGGCTGGGGGGCCTGTCTGGTATAGAGTGTGAAAAGCGCTGGGCGGGGCCTGGTCTCTGACTCACCCAATAGGCTCCTTCCTGGTCAAAGTCAGGTTGCGGTTGGGTCTGGCCTGGTTGATGGGGATGGTGGAGCCCTGGAAGAAGCATAGGGGGGGATTGGTGGGAGGGGGGGCTCCAGTTTCTCACCCCTTCCCTCTGGGGGGCCAGCCTGCTCCTGGGGCCCCCAGGAAGGAGCAGATTCCGTCTGTATCCTGGTGTTCCCACTACCCAGATGAACAGGGGTCCCGAGTCTCCCAGTTTTGATGGACAGTGTGGACCCCACAGAGGCCTTCTGCTTGGAATGGCCATGCCTGACTTAGGCTCGGTGCCCAGGCAACCCAGCCAGAGGTGCTCTGGTCCTCGTGAGTAAACAGCAGTCCCTCCTGCGGAGGCCGGTAGGTCCTGCTTCTTGGGGCCACTTGCACTTTTCCTTCCTTTTTTTTTTTTAATACTTTATTTATTGATGCACACAAGAACTTGGGTGTAGGCCTGAAGTGCAGTGAGATGAGAGGATTCACCAGAGACCGAGTGGGGAGCAGAACAGGCAGACTGACGAAGTACACTGCTGAGGGGAGCAGCGGGCGGGTCAGGAGAGGTCTGCTGTCCATGTGGGTCAGCTCCCTGGCCACAGCTGATAGTGCTGCACCACCAGGAGGCCCCCACTTCTTTTCTGTCCTCTCTTCCTGTACTTTAAATTCATGAATAAAGAGTGAGCCTGTGAAACCCTAGCATCCCCCATGAAAGCAGGACCCACGCAGTGTGCTCTGTGTGTGTGCACACGTGTGTCCTCCCTCCATCCATGGCCTCATGGTGGCCCCGGGCTCAGAAGTCATAAGACTGTATTGTTCGGTTTCTTGGTGGTCACTGCCAAAGGGCACCTTGCAATCAGAACAGGCCCCGAGGACAGGTCCACACATTGGCTGTCACTAAACGACACGGGCACCCGACAGACAGGTCAGTTCCGGGGGCGGACAACAGAGTCCTGAGACAGGAGGCTGGTCCTGGGCAGGCGAGCCTGGCCGTGACATTGCGGCCAAGAAAGGGTGACGATGTGGCAGGGGCCTGAGCTGCTGCTGGAGCTGTTGCTGCACTGCCCCGAGGCCTAGGTGGGGGCTACTGAGCAGTGGTGCGGCTACAGAATGGGGAGCAGGAATGGGCAGGGGGGGAGGCCACCTCCCTCCTGACTGCCACACCCACACACCTCAGCCCCAGAGGTAGAAGAGGAGCGCAGAGGAGCCACAGAGATCAGACCGGGCAGAGGCGCCCTGAGCCCCGCAGCCATGTTGCCCCGGGGAAGGGTTGACCTGTCGCTGCCTGGGACATTAAATCCCAGGGCTCTTGGGCCGTGGGAGGTGGTGCGCTCCCCCCACCTGCGAAGACCGGGCATGGCAGGGTGGACCAGGAGGAAACAGGTGGGGCCAGCATAGCCCCACTGCCCTGTGAGAGCAGTTTCTCCAGTCAGTGAAGAGTCAGAGGACTTCTGAGCCCAAGGGAGATGAGCTGGCCTGAGGGCGCAAGGCTGGGGCAAGGACCAGAGAGCAGTCTGCAGAGGCCAGCCCCAGATGGTGCCAGCGAGGCACGAGCCCTCTCTTCTGCCACTGCAGGTGTTGAGCCCTGCCCACAGCTGTGCAAGATCTGGAAGTGGGGTCCTCTCCTCCATCCACAAGGAGGAGCCCAGCTGGCTTCCCCCTGACCTCGACCTTGTGAGACCCTGGCCTAGAACCCAGCTGAGCCCACCCAGGTTCCCACCCACAGAGCTGGGAGCTGATACCCAGGGCTGTTTCAAGCCCTGACTTGTGGGCTTTGTCACACAGCACGCAGAGCACTACCCCGCCCGAGGTCCCCGCCAGGCAGCCCGCCTGGTGTGCGTGCACATGGCAGGCAGCGCCCGGGCCCCACCTGGATCTTGTCACACCAGCCGGCAAAGTAGCGGAAGGTCTGGATGGACATGCCCACATGGGTCTTCAGGGCCAGCGTGTAGACGGCACCTGCATCCACAGCCTCAATGGTGGCCAGCTCTTCCTGGTGCTGCTCCATGAGGTCCGCCAACCTGGCCGAGGGGTGCAGAAGGCAGGGAGGGGCTCAGGCCTGCACCGGCTGGCCTGCTCCTTCAAGGTCCTTCGTCAAGGGTTTGGCGGCCCTGTCTGCATGCCCAGCTCTGTCATACTCAGAGGCACTGGCCTCCGTTTCCTGCCTATGAGATAGGGGAGTAGTAATACTCACTACGCTGGGTGAGTGTAAGACGAGTGCTCTCTGTCCCTCTCCTGAAATGCTCAGGGACCTGTTTGTCATAAACACTCTTCACACATGACCCTGCAGAGCTCCTACATCTGCCTTAAGGAGATCACCATGCCAGGAGGCCGCCTGCTGTCTCTGGGCACCTCAGCCAGGGAGGCATTTGGCTTCAGACCTCAACCAGTCTGGAAGAGAGTGCACCCCAGGCTGGCGGCTTCAGGGATGGAGGGACCCCCTGCAGGAGAGATGCAAGGGCAGGTGCAGCTGCCCAGCCTCCCAAGACTGAGAGTCTAGACTGTCAGAGCCATGGTGCTCTCCTGCCCTCCGTGATTCCAAGCTGCGCCCACAGCTGTGCAGAGATGGGCTGTGCAGTCAGAGCTGCTGCCCTCAGGCCAGGGGCATCACCCAGACATGGAAGCTGTAAGCTGAGCTGCTTGTCCACTCCGGAGGTCTCCACTTAGAACTGCCCCGTCCCTCACTGGCATTAGGATTGGTGGGGTTACTACATCATGTGCCAGCAGATGGCAGCAGAACGTCTTAAGTGATGGCCACTTCTGGGTGGGTTTCTTCCCAGCAGGCCACCTCCAGTAGCCTGGGGCAGCAGGATTCACAGGGATTTGGGTCACTGGTTGGCCAAAGGCTTTCTAAAATTCCTGGCTTCACTAACGGGTCTTGAAATTAACTTGAGAGACAGCGGCTGGATGCACCAACCTCCTCAGCCCTTTCCTGCCCCAAACTCTGCTGTCTGTTCTGTTCTGCCAGCACACAGGACCCCTCTCTGGTTCCCTGAAGCATTTCTGACCCCAGGAACTGAAACAAAATGCACTCTGACTCCAAGTCCCAGTTGGCTGTCTCCCACCATATGACAAGCTCACTCGGACCATGTCATTGGCAGCTCTGCACCTGAGAGCTTGTCCAGGCCACAGAGACCAAAGCAAGTTACCTGGCCAGGGCACTCCCTTCTGGAAACATGATCCCACTTCCCTGGGGGCCTCTGGCCTACCCTCAGGGACCTCCTGGTTCTAGGGGAGAGAGAGTCTCTCTTCTAGCTTCACTGAACAATCAGGTCCTCCCCCAGGATTTCTGAGTGGAGCCAGGAGACAGCCCCTGCCATGCCGGTTAAAAAAATAATAATAATAAAGACAGCGTGAGACCACGGATGTGAAAGCGGCCATCTGGCCATCCGAGCCCAGCTGAGTGAGGATAAGCAGCGGCAGGCTGGACTTCTCCCGCCGTGATGGCCCCTGCCTACAGGGGCCCAGGCTGGCTCAGGTGGCACCTGGTGGGGCTGCCCAGGTCCAGCTGTTAGCACTGCAGGCTTGTAACGCCCCTCTGGAGGATACCCTCACCTTTTCACCTTCTCCTTTGCTTACAATGTCCCCTCCCCAGGATCACTTTCACCCTAAGCATCAGCCACTTCGTATTTGCCGAAATCCCTCCTGCCTCACATGTCAAGGCCTCCTTGAGAAGCCTTTTCTGAGCTACAGGGCTGGACTGAATGACCTGTTTGGGCCCTACCTCCGCTGGGCAAGACTGATGTCTAGCTTCACCCCAAGCCGTGGCAGCAGGTGGGCGAGGGGCTCTCACCTGTATAGGAGCCGCCCCCGGTCCCGAGCACTGATCTTCCCCCACAGTCCATTCTCAAAAGCATCCTTTGCTGCAGCCACTGCCTTGTCCACATCACTGACCTGGGCCAGGGAGACCTGGCAGATGACCTGTGGTGGAACAGAATGTGAAGTCTCCCTTAGGCACAAAGACTTCAACCTGGCAGGGTGCTTAGGAAAGTCTAGTTCCTAAAATCAATAGCAGGAAGGACCCTCCCAGCAAAATGTGGAGGCTCGGGGCAAAACGAGCTGATGTAATACCAGGAAGACCATGGCTCACCTGGAGTACCAGGGTTCAAGGAGGTGGGTGCCAAGGGCTCAGATGAGGGTCAGTGACTAAATGCTAGGGACCCTGGCTCGGCATGGAACTGGAGTGGCCCAGCACGCCTCTCCAGGTTCAGCCTGGAGGCTGGCGATGTTGATCAGTAGGATGGACCTGGGCTGTGCTAAAAGACTGCTGAGGTCGTCAGCACGCTGGCCCCAGACTCAATCTGGAGGCTGCCTAGGTTGGACAGGTTTTGGTTTACTCTGGAGTTTGGCAAAGTTGCCTGTAACCCTAGCCCTGTGTGATGATTAAAGATTCCCAAGGTGGACCAGCAGGCTGGCCAAAGGTTCAGCCTGGAGTCTGCTAAGTCAACCACAGGCCAGCCCTAGGCTCCGCCTCGAGCAGCAGGCTGGCCTCTGTCTCAGCTGGAGGCTGGGGGTATTGACTAGTACCCTGTCCGGGCTGTGACTAAAGACTCCCAAGATCAACCAGCAGGCCGGCTGAAATCTCAACCTGAAGGCTGCCGACGTCGACCAGTAGGCCTGCCCTGAGCTATGCCGCCCACGCCCCAGTCACCTAATTGGCACCTAAAGGAAGGTCACCCACAGGAGGCTGCTGGGAGGGTCTGAGCAACCAGAGGAAGAGGGTTTTGTAAAAGTCTATTTGTGTCCCCACATCCAGGTGTCTTCACTTCTTGCTGAGCCCACTGAGGGCAACAGACTCAGGCTGCAGTCAGTCAGTTTACCATCTCGTACCAAGAGCAGGGAAATGAGATAGGCAGTGGTAGCTCAGAATGGCGTCCCTCCTCCTCCCCATCCTGTGCCCTGAGGGCACCTAAGGCTGCCCATGCGCGTCCACATAGGCCACAGCTTGGCTCACAGGAAACTGGAAAGAGGCCAGCAGGAGGGCTGTGGCCAGCACCTTGCTGCTCAGTGCCTCGGAGGCTCTTTCTGTGCAGCCTCACTCTGGTTCCCAAAACTGGCCTCAAGTTATAACAGCTCTTGAAATTCCTACCTGAGTACCCCTTTTCCCTGTCTCCGCAGCCTGTGTACCCCTTTGTCAAGCACTTTCCATACAGTTCCCTCAAATGACCCATTTTGGGGGTGCAGCCTTCTGCAGGGCCTGCATGGGGCTAGGCCATAGGACAGAGCATGCTCAACGCGCACCTGTGAGCGTAAGGGTTGCTGTGGGGTGTACATGAGCGAGAGCACAGGCTATGGAAGATCAGTCAAAAAGCCTGGCAAACACAGATTCAAGGGAAATGCTCCCGGTAGTGGGGTATACCGATACTGGGGTAGCTGGGGCCCATGCCGAGGCTCCTGTCGAAGCTTGGAGGAAAGCGGGGTGTAACTCCGTTCCTAGTCTTGGAAGCACACTCAAGACTCCCGAGTGTACAGCCTCCCCCCTCCCCAGCCCCTCTGCAGCATCTCCCTCAGTGCTGTTGATACAGGGGGGTCTAGAGACTGACTGCGACCCTGCTGTGTCCAAGTGGAGACCCCCACTCCCACTGAGGCCCAGGAACCCCGAGGCCAGAGGAGACCCTGGGGAGCAGCGGGGAGCGGGAGAGGGGGAGGGGATGCTGGCCTGACTCACACTTCCGTCTGTGGGGTTGATGGTTTCATAGGTCTTAGTGCCCTCAGCATCCACAAACTGGCCTCCGATGAAGAGCTGGTGGGGCATCCGGACGGTCATCTTGTTCACTGTCTTTTCCACCTGGAAGGAAATTTCCAAGGGTTTCAGTTGCAGTGTGGCTTCTTCACACACAGGCATCAGTGATGGGCACACACCCAGAGACCCGGGAAACACGTTCACAGCCCCTCAGCCTTCTCAGGGCTCTTCTGCTCCATTGGGTCGCCCAAGAGCTTTGATGTAGGTGTTGTGGTGGCTGAGAAGTAACAAAAGGTGAAGAGCACAGACTCTGAGGCCAGACTGCTAGGGCAGGAGCTGGAGTGGGAGCTGAAGCGGGAGTGGGAACTGGAGTGGGAGTGGGAACTGGTGTGGGAGCCACAGCTCTGCTGTCACCCAGGGCGGGGACCTCCGGCTGGCTGCCCAGCCCATGCCTGGGGGGTGGAGGTGCACCGGCTTTGCCAGCTACCAGACTCCACAACAACCATCCCGCTGCACTTTGCTGGGGGCCTGCACCCCGGGCAGGATGAGGAGTCCTCGGACGCCATGCCCCTCCTGACAGCTGCTCGTGAGTCTGTCCACAGTCCCCTGGCGAATCTGGAGTCCATCCTGGTCACCCCAAAAGCTACCCCAGAGTCAATTCCCATAGCAGTTGTGGCTACTAAGATATCCCCGGGGTGACTGTTCAAGAGTTTCTTTTAAAAGTGGACTTACAATGACTTCACCACACTCCCATATATACAAATGGAATCTACAGACTCATTCGTTTCCTTCTTGGGCAATGATTATCAATGGCCCCCACACCATCTGGTCCACAAAAGGAACTTAGCAGAAGGAATTGGTCACACCGCTCGTGGAAGCAGAGCTGGCCCAGGGCTGGTCAGCAGCAGAAGGCACCACCATTGCTAGACTGGAAGGGTAAGTGGAAAAGGTGGGGTCACTCAGGGAAACTAGGGTTCCAGCTAGGTGGCCGACCAGGCGCTGGGGCTCCTTAGAGAGGCAGCCACTGCTGGAAAACCCACCCCAGGAGGAAAAAACTCGTAAAACTCTGCCTTAACAGCCTGGTCTCAGATCTGGGAACTCTGCGTCTGCCCCACACGCTCAACATTAGACAGAGATGTCCTCTGCGGACTTTGCCTTCTGCTCCGGGACTGTCAGAGCTCGGGACACTGAGGAGTTAGCTCTTGGGGATCACAGAGATGGTGTTTGAGGGGTGTCAGGCCATGCCTCCTGGGGGGCCAGTACTTACATAGTCAATGACACACTCGCCCTCTTCATCGTCCCCACGAAGCTTCCTCACTACCAGCTGGATGAAGTCCCCGAAGGTGGTTGCCATATAAACATCTTCATTTTCTAACTCCAGCCCGTCACACAACTCCTTCACTTCCTCCACCAGCCTGGGGGAAAGGAGACAGAAAAAGTGGGAATAGCACTGGCTGGACAGTGCTGATCCCGCAGCAGAGGCGAGGCGCCAAATGTGAATCCCGAAGAGACCCTCACCCGGCACCCGAAGCATGAGAACTGGGGCGGAGAAGCCAGACTGTGCATTCAGAAGGTTTGGTTTAAATTAAAACCATCAGGTGCTGGGCCCTCCCTCGTGGCGCAAGGGGTTAAAGCGCAGTACTGTGACGCTATCTGCAGCCACCTCAGTGAGAGTTCCATCCCCGGCCAGGGAGGTGACTCTTAAAGAACTAAAACATATTCTTCCCATTTCGCACTTCACCTTTACTCAAGAGGAATTAAACCCCGTGTATAAACAGAAGACAGAAACATCTCCTCTCTTCACCTAAACAACTGAATTGTCTTGAGTCAAATATTTTGACACCCGTTAAAATCCCAACTGTAGTTTTTCTTACAAACCCAGTCTAGTAATTCCTCAGAGAAGGAAAATGCTCACATCCAGCCCCTCCCCACCTTTCCTGCCAACCAAGGGCCCAGGGGCCTGCCAAGTGCTTCCCTAGATCGCAGGGATGGAGTGGGCGCTGAGCCCTAAGACCTGCCACAGGACTGGAGTGCTTCCCTGCCCCCATGCTCACCCCACTTCAGCAGGGCTCCTGAATAACAACAGGGAAACCACCACACTGTGATCCCCCATCCCAAGCCACCACCCACCTACAGAGGGTGCCTGGTAGGTGGTGACAGGCTTCCAGGCCCAGGCTCCAGACAGATGGTGCAAAGAAGCTGGAGGAGAGCCGCCCTGCCCAGCTATCCTGTTCCTATCAGTCACTGGCCCAGAGCCATGTGAGGTGGCCCGCTGGGCCTGCACACACGTCCTATCCTGATCCCTGATCTGCACTGTCCAAGAGCACAGCAAAGGGTATTGTTTCCGGTCATTCAATGTTGGGGTGATGTGTGATGCAGCCAAGACACCTGGCACAGGAGCCCCGCAGTCCAGCCTTACCTCACCACGTCCACTGAGGCGGCCCCTGACTTGAAGAAATCAGTGGAGTCATCCACTTCCGGGACATTGGGGAGAATGCGCTTCCAGGCGCTCTGGAAAACAGAGCAGCGGAAAGGTGGCTCGTGGGAGCTGGGGGGAGGAAGCTGGTGCCAGGCTGGGCCCGGGGGGCCACCCCTGGGAAGTAGCAGCTGCCAGCCTGGGTACTCGATGTGCCCACCTCAACTTGACCTCAGCTTCTCTGCAGGTCAGAGAAGCCAGAGCTCAGGGTGCGGCCTGGGAGGCCCTCAAGTCAGACCTCACCTTGGTGCTGCTGTCTGGGTTCGGGAATCCCCAGTGGGAAAGGAGCACAAAGCGGAGGTGGCTTGTGGGTGAAAGCACGGGCTGGGGTCTGACCTCACTGAGGCTAGCTGGCTCGGTGCTTCTCTGTCCTGCGCCTGAGGAAGGCAGCGGCACCTGCCACTCCGTCTCATGGGCGGCGTGGAAAGGGCCATTCAAGCTGAGTGAGCTCCAGCCCAGGCACCCCAGGAAACTGTCAACGAGCTGGGTGGGCTCCACCCAGATGTCTGGACAAGAGCAAGGAGGCCCCACACTGTGACTCAGCTCCAGTCTGGGGATGGTCACCAGACCAGAGGGGGCCCAGGGTGGTGGAGGTAGGCTCCCTCAGGAACCCCATCCAACTTCTGGCTCCCTCCTTCTGTCTTGAAAGGTGTGGCAGACAGGACGTATTCTCCTCCTCAGTGTGACCACCAGAGCCGCACCAGGCCACTTATTATCCCCACATAGCTGCTGCTGCTCCTCCAGCCTCTACCTGGGCCCTTCCCTGAACCCCCAATTCCCTTTAAATCCTGGGCATCTTCCAGGGCTCACAGTAGCATTACCTCTACCCCAAAACCTTCAGCGTCTGGATAGGACAAACTCCTGAGATGCACACTGCCTGACTCCTCCCACCCCAGCCCCCAGAAGTCCCAGCACCAAAGGGTACACGTGTGCACGTGAAGACACACGGCACCTTGTTCAGATCCCAGCTGGGGGGCAGAGGGAGTAGGAAGGGCCTGGAACAGTCCTGGGAAGTGACCACTGACTAGACCTCATGTGGACAGTCTCAACGAAGGAAGTGTCTCTGGCTTACCCCTGTGGCTGAGGAGTATCAGAACACAGATCTGTTTGACTGGGATGCCTATGCTCTGCCTAGGGAACCCTTTCTGGAAGGTTCCAGTGCACACATTTCCATCACAGGGCCATGCACCTGACATCTGACTCCTTCACTTATTGCATAAACGTTTGTAGCTGCTGTCCACTATGGACAAATCCTGAGATGAGTCAGATCCAGCCAGCCAAATTCCAGGGTTCCCATGGCAGGGGAAAGAGGTTAAGGGGAGCATCAGAGAACCCCAAGATAGGAGAGAGCCAACATCACGCTGGGCCAGCACACACACCCACAGAGGGTGTGCGTGACCCAACTCCAGGGAGTCAGCTTCACGGAACACATGCGCAGTGCACAACCTGCCCAACCGGACGGCAGCCCCGGGCTCTATCACATACCCGCACGGCCTCTGCGGTGCCCCGTTCTGCCTCTGTCAGCTCCAGGGCACTGCTGTCTGCGGCCTTGAAGAAGTTCGAGGCCGGGATCATCTTGCCATCCTCCAGCTGGATGTTCTTCACCAGCAGCTGCAAAGAGAAGGCTTCTCAGGGCCCGTGGGCACTCCTGCAGCAGGCAGGGAAGAGAGCATTTCCACCATGCACCTCCAGCCCTCTCCTCAGGGCAGGCAGAGCCCGGGCTAATGGTGGAGGGGATCAGAAGGGGCGCAGAAGACTCTGCTGTTCCAGGGGCCCCCAAGCCCCATTGTGATCTTGCTTTGTTTCAGTGTAATGACTTTCTATAAAAATGACTTTCTATAAAAATGATGCCTACTCATTAGACAAAAGCAGTTCGAGCATTGCTTTGACAGTAGCCCAGCTGGAGAGACACCATGGACACGCCCTGCAGAGGCCATCAGAGGCCTCTCGGGCTCACACTTGGGAAGAGGAGTGATGAACAGAGGCGCAGAGGCTCGGATGTCTGGGACTGGCTCCCTCTAAGTGGACCTAACGGAACCAGAGCCAGGGTCCCTGCCAGACCCTACCCTGCGGCCCTTCCAAGGTGTGGGGCTTTCTGAGCTAAAGGCCAGCCTGACCCAGATGGAAGGTCCTGAGTGGCTTCAGCCAAGGGTCTCCGCCAGGCCTGCCTTCTTTGTTTGCTGTCCCTGTGGCTATCATGGGAGACACAGTCTGTGCGCCCCAGGTCCTCTCCAGGCAGGTCCCCCATCCTCTACCTGCTGCAGAGATGACTGTTAGGGGCCCACAGCCACACCCTCTTCCTTCAGGGTTCCCTGAAGGGGCTCAGGGCACCTGAAGAGGCTTCTGGAAGAGGGAAGTGGTTAGGCTCCCACTGCACAGCCTGCAATCAGGGACCCCCACAGGCCTGGGCAGGCAAGTGGGGTGCCCCCCCTAGAGTGAGCAGCCTGCAGTCTAACTGTGGGGCCTCAGTCCTTGGAGAAGCGTGTGTGGCCTGGAGCACAGACAAGTGACCCTAGGAGTGCCATTACCGTTCTGTCATCATTCCCAAAGAGGACAAGTCCAGCTTTGGTGACCACCCCTGGCCGGTGGGCTCCTGGAATGGGCAAAGGTTCTCCCTGGGGCACCACGCCTGCAGTGTTCAGAGTCGAGTTGAAAAACGTCAGCTTCTGTTGAGGGCAGAAGAACCAGAAGACAGTGGATGAGAGGGGGCCTGCCAGCAGCCCAGGTAGGGATGAGCAGATCTACGGAGAGGGAGGGGACCCAGGGAAGCCCCTGGGGTGCCTCGGCCCCAAGGACCCTGCCTCCAGGGGCACAGATAAGGCTTGGAGCAGCCTCAGAGGCCTCAGGGAACCAATGCCAAGGTTGCCTCAAGCAAGTGGCCCTAAGGCCCGCCGCGGAGAGGCCCATGGTCTGAAACCTCACATGGGCAGACTGGGCGAAAACCTATTCAAGGCATCTCAGCATGGGGACACCTGCCCTGGAGATGGCACCGGGCACTGATCACTGCAAAGGCTCCTGTGGCAGCAAGATCAGCAGAGAAACTCCTGGGCAGGCAGCCGGCAAGTGGGTTTAGACAGTCAGGACCTCGTGGAGGACAGGGTTATGCCCGGTGGGGCAGGATGAAGGCCCCTGCTCATGGCCATGCACCTCTGGCCCCTGCGGACAGCCTGCGGGCCCTGAGTGCATCTTTAGCATCTGGCTGGCCCACTGCCAGTCCCAGGCCCTGAGCAGGCTGCCTCTCCTTGCCCCAGGGCCTGAGACAAAACTGGATCTGGAGCTGGGTCTCTGAGGGCTGTTCCCATCAAATGCAAATGGACACTAGCCTCGGAATTTCCCTAGCAGACAGAACCAGGCTAGCCATACAAGCCAAGCTTCACGTCACTGATTCTGCAAGGTAAGTGAGACTAACTTGACCTGGGTCCTTTCTGGCTTGTGCCTCTGAATAGCATAAACAAAGGGGGGGGCCTCAAAATTGATCTGAGGCAACTGTGAACCAATTCCTTATCATTTAAGGTCCTAAGATTATAACCAGTCACCGTGAAGAGTAAACAGTCACCGACTCCGAGTGGCCAGCAGCTTTCTGCCACAGGCTCCCAGCTTCCCACAGCTGGCCCCACGCTCCTCAGGGGCGGGCTCTTTTTGGCTGTGACAGCACGCTTTCACTGGCTACTACCTTGGTGACCCACTGGCTTTACTTCTGCTATTCTGAGCTTTTAACAGAGCCCAAGGTGTGACTGACAACCCACACAGCCCGGTTATCGCAGGAGGCCTGGCAGTCGACCTCCGTCCTTCAGCCTCTGGGTGGAGTTCTAGGGGACAGTCCTGGGAGAGTGGCCCATGGGGCTGGGGAGCGCAGGTGGTGCTGAGGGCCAGGACACTGGCTATTTGCCAGCATTCAAACAGGTTCTGAATGTTTCACAGCCATGGGACTGCACCAGGGCACCCAGCCTACTCCCAGCCCCACTCCCAGGCTCGCGTGAACACACCTGCCCGCCAGCCTCGGTCCAGGCGCCTGGCACCTTGTCGTTCCCGCGGATCCAGTTGTGAATGGCCTCTGCTGGCTGCGCCCAGTTGATCTGGGGGAGGCAGAGCATGTGTCAGTCCCGCCCCCTCCCTGACCCTCCATTGTCCCCCTCACACCAGGACCCTGATAGTGGGTGGAGGAGTCTTGGGGGAAGCGGGGAAGGCAGGCTTCCTGAACCAGGACACTGGTCTGAGCCCCTGAACTGGGAGTCTTTCCCTAGCACCCCAGTTTGGGTGCTCTCCTGGACTCGTTCTTTCATGGGTTGAATAAGGTAGCGGACCGCCTAGAGACGTTTCACAGATGTAGACAGCCAAGGCCTACACATCCCCAACACAAAGTGCACACTCACCCATGTGCCCCGACAAATTCTCACCCGGTGGGGCTCACACAGCGTCCCATGAGCCCTGAGCAGATATAAGCTGAGACCTCCCCCCCACCCCCGCCTTCTGCATGGCTCTGGCACTGCAGCTGAGTTTTTACACCCCACCCCAGCTCTTTCCCTGGGGCCCTGCCTGCCTAGCAGTCCTAAAGAGGAGCAGCAAGAATCCAGAACAGACCCTGTTCCCTGACCACTGTCATGGCCCACTCAGGCGAGCTCATGCATCCCCTGCCTCTTTGGATCTTAAGCAATTACAATCTGGCGTTGCAGTTGGACCCCCCTCTTCCCCAGGGAGCCCTCTGCACCCCAGCACACACACAGGCAAGTCGGGGTGGGAGGGTGTGGCACTCACCTTGGCTGTTTCCTTCTTCTGAATGCCCTCATAGGTGGCTCCTTCCTCAGGCTGCGGAAGTCTGGGGGCTCTGCCCTCAGCAATCAGCCTCACAGCCTGAACCTGGGGGACCCATCGGCAGCATTAGGATCCGCTCTTTACCCCAGGCCCTGGTTACACACTGACGCTGGAAACCACCCCACAGTGACCAGCCTTGCCTGGACATAATAGGCACCGAGAAACAGCCACTGTGTGAACAGGTGGAGCCAGCCCATACCTAATTCTATCCAGTGTGATGGGCACAAGGTCCCACTCTCTCTACCACACAAGATTTTAGAACATCATGTAGATCTTTATCATTATATTGGCTCTCCCTGGTGACACAACGGGTTAAAGCTCAGCACTATGAAGCCACTGCAGCACAAGTTTGATCCAGCCAGGGAGGTGACCCACAGGGCACAGCAGACCTCTCCTGTCTCACTGGTTGCTCCCCTCAACAGTGCATTTCATTCGACCTGCCTGTTCTGCACCCCACTCTGTTTCTGGTGAATCCTCTCACCGCCCACTCCTATGGCTTGTACCTCAGTTCCATAAACATAAATTAAAAATAAATCTTTTTTTTAAAGACCTTCTACCTTCCATGATCCACAAAGCCCTGTCCAGGTATGACACAAACAAATTGCCATGTTTTTATCCAAAACCTGTCTTCTAAGGAAGATGGACCTGGAGGCCACTGAGTGATGGGCTCAGCACGATCTCCTGATCACGTGATACACACTGGCCAATGAGAAACTTCTCATTTTTTTTTTTCATTCATGAATTCTAGGAGCAAGAGGGAAGCTCTTCTGGAATCAGGAGGTGTGCTAGCTTAGGGCTAGCTTAGGTGAACAACCAGTGACTCTTTCCTTCCAGTGGGGACAGGCAACTTGGGGATTCAAATGAAGAAAGAGAAACAGGATACTAGCAACGTGGCTCGTGTCCCTGGGTTCAGCCATACATGACACTGTCCCAGCCTATTAAATGAGTCTACATGTCCCCTTCTTAAGTTTTTTGAGCTGGGTTCTCTCCATTATAAGCAAAATTATCACTGAATCCCATACACTTCGTCCTAATCCTGCTTCTTTGAAACCCTGAAATGAAAGTTCTCTCTGGCAGACCCTGGAATTTGGTGAACAGATTCCTAGCCAGCTTCCAGCACTTACCATCCCTTTGACACCTTCAGGGAAGAGGAAGCGGTTGTACAGAGTGCTCACAGTGTCATCAGGAAGGACATCACACTCCTTCTGCAGGAGAAGGTCCCCAGTGTCCAGGCCATCGTCTGCCCAGAAAATGCTGAAACCCCCTTTCTTATCTCCATGAATGAGGGTCCTAGCAAACAGAAGAGTGAACCATGAGTCCAGAAGGAAGTCTCACAGAGAAGGGTGCCCTGGGGCAGCAGCTGAGATGACTGCACCCACCAGCACCCCCAGGATACCTGCTCTGGAAGGAAGGGGAGAAGGCAAACGGTCTTTGTTGATAGCAACCAAGTGCCAGCTGTGGTGTGAGAAGTCCTATCCTCTCAACACAAGGACAGACACTGAGCACCTATTTTACAGATAAAGAAACTGAGGCCCGGGAAGTGAAGAGACATGTTTGGAAGTGAGGGAGGACGACACCTGACTGCCAGACCACTCTCTCTTCCAGCTTAGGTGTCTCCCCTCCACCACCACGCAACTGATCTGCCCACCCACCGGGCATCTCGCGGTTTGTCTCGTCGGCATTCCCATCATCATGAGGTCTTGCTCGGGCAACCCTTCCCGCCATCTTTCTTTCCAAGCAGGCTGGTGCCCAGAGGACCGGCAGTGGGTGTCAGACCAGGCCTCTCTCTGGGTACACTGCAGGGGTTGGTGCCCCTGCAGCCTCCTGGGAGCCCTCAGGTGAGCCCCTACACCTGCTCTGTCCTGGCCGCCCCACAGCAGGGTGGGAGCCTGACATGCCCACGTCTCAGGTTTGCTGTGGGGTGCAGGGTGCTTCACAGTATCTACATGGGGGCTGCGGAACATCGTCACTACTAACATCACTCCAGCAGTGTGGACGCCACGTGCCAGCCCGGGACAGGCCCCTGCGTGATGGCTGCTCTGCAGTGCCAGGGAAAAGCTCGGGCTATGAGAGGGAAGATTCAGGCAGATTCAGGGTGGGCTGCCCATCTCACCAGTTGATGGCTGATGCCCCCCTGTGCCGGGGGAGCAGACTCGGGTGGTAGATGATGGAGCCGTGGCGGGGCCCACTGATGACCTCCATGGGGATGAACTGGCTGCAGAAGGGCAGGACGTTGAGCTCAGCGCCCAAGGCCTGGTATTTCACCACCACGTCGGGCAGAGCCTGTCCTTTCACTCGCCAGCGGGGAAACTTGAACACTGGCACGCCGTCCTTCTCGGCCTCCAGGCCTGCAGGTGCAGGGCAGTGGGTGAGAAGCCAGCCTTTCCCAGGCCCACCCACTGCCACCTCTGCCTTCCCTGGGAAGTGGCTCCAGCAGCTTCCCTCCAGACCTGTGCCTCCTACATGTTCCTGCTGCCCAGCCAGGCCCCACCGGGAGCAGGGGACAGCATCTACAAAGAGTTTCAGGGGTTACTCTGTCTGGCATCACACACAGCTGCTGACCACCGAGACATCTGAACTCATTACAAATGCAAAGTCTCGGACTTCACCCCACAACTCTAAATGGAAGCTCGCAGGGGACAGTGCTTCGTGCCACAGGCACCTTGTGTTCGAGAACACTGACCAGCAAGGGCTCCTGCCTGATGTCTTTAAAGTCCCTGGATGCTGGGGTCAGAGGAGCGTGGGGAGGCCGGACAGCAGGGCCCGGGGGGTGGGCAGCCTTCATCGTGGCTCCTCGCAGACCAGAACCTCTACCCCTCTGTGTCAGTGGCCACCTGAGCGGGATTCAGGGTGGATGGTAACAATTGCCTCCAGCCAGGCTGCCCAGGCTCCTGGGCCCACCCACTGCTCACAGTTACCTCCCTCCCTGCTCCTGGGCCCCCACTCACCCAGGGGGTCAGCCTTCCCATCCTTGTCTGGGATAGTGAACACGCCCACGATCTCATGGCCTTCCTTCCTCAGGTTGGAGTAAACTTCCTGGCCGAACAGGCTCTGCCCAATCACTGCGATCTTCATGGCAGCAGATGTGGGAAGATCTGGGGAAGAAACAAGCAGTAGCTTTAGACCACTGGGTGGTGTAGAGGAGCTGTTGAGTGAATAACATTGTCCCTGGGAAGTAACCTAGATTCCTTTTCTTGCTCTGTTCATCTTTGCTGGGTACCTGTTTATCATTTTGCAGACTATGTAATAGAAGACCAGGTGAGATAGGCTGAGACCAAAATGAAAAGATGTGAGAAAAGGATTAAGCTACCGACACATGAGCATAATAACAAAGCACACCACCAAGCCCCTACATAGCTAGTCATGATGGCACTTGGAAGAGAAATGGGCATGAATACAGCACCAGAAACCTGCTATTTCTAGTTCTCCAAAATCCTGCAATGACACAGTGTAACACGTGTCATTACACTGTGTTCATCCTCCGTGTGGCATGGTATCCCATTGTGTGGTCAAACCATTTATTTATCCATTCTACTTTTGATGGGTATTTGGGTTGTTTCCTGTTTGAGGCTACTGCCAACAGGGGTGCCATAAAGAGCCTTCCACTTGGTTCTTTCTGAATGCAGGTACACAGTTCTGTTGAGAATATACCTTAGATTAGAATTCCTGGATCACAGGTATGAAAACACTCAATCTTAGCAGATTCTAACAATTTTCCAAAGTGGTTGTACCAATCACCACTTCCACATGCTTTGCATGGTGCCCTTGTATCTTTTTCATGTTAACCATTTTGCAAACATGAAATATAACTATCTTGTTGGGGATTTAATTTTCAATTCCATGACAACTAATGAAGCTAAGTACCATTTCCTGTTTATGGGCCATTTGAGTGTCTTTATGTGGAAACTGCCTCTTCAAATCTTTTGTCTATTTTCTCTGTATTTTTTTTTCCTCCCTAATTGCAAGAGTTTTTTTTGTTTGTTTGTTTGTTTTCTTTATTTTGAAATTACCTAGACTATGAGTCCTTTGTCAGACACATTTCTGGATAATTTCTTTAACTCTATGGCTCTTTTCACTTTCTTGTGGTATCTTTTGATGAATAGAAACACTTAAATTTGACATAGTAAACTTTATCAAAAATTTTCTTTGCGGTTAGTGGTTTCTGTATTCTATTTAAGAATTTTTTGTTTACTGAAAGTTCATCAAGATGTTCTCTGTGTCTTCTAAAATTTTCATTGTTTGATGAGAATGCAAAGGTGTGCAAAGGAGCATATATGGTTTTTCAGTGTTAGGTGCTGAAATAGGCAATCTGGCACTCTGTATAAAAATTAACAAATAGGCAATCTGGCACTCTGTATAAAAATTAACTCAAAATGCATCACAGACCTAATGGTAAATCACAAAACTACAAATAGAAGCTAATACAAAAGAAAACCTAAATACTTAAAGGACCTTGGGAATTTGGTGATTTTAGGTACACCAGAGTACACCAGTACACCAAAGGCACATGGCACAGCAGACCTCTCCTGTCTTGCCCACTGCTCCCCTCAGCAGTGTTCTTTGCCCTTCTGCTCCCCACTCTGTCTCTGGTAAATCCTCTCACCCCTGCACCTCTGGCCTGTACCCCAATTCTTGTATGTATAAATAAATAAATCTCAAAAAAAATAAAATGTAAGAAAAAAGAAAAGCACGGTTGTTGCTAGGGGCTTAAAGAAAGGAGGAATGAACAGGTGTAGCATAGTTTGCTTTTTTTTTATCATAAATACAAAGTTAACTACTATGACAGAGATGCAGATTATTATTAATTTGTCAAAGTTCACAGAATAGACAACGAAAAGTTGTACCTGATATAAACTGAGCTGTATTGTGTCAGCAACAATACACTGATGGGAAGACAGGAGGTCTGTGCAGGCTGCACAATGCAGGATGCTACTGAACAAGCAGGACCTTGGCCTCTTTACTGACAGAATCATCAAACAACATCAGCTACAGGGGGTAGGAAGACAAGGAGAAGGAGATGGGTGGAAATAAAGAATGTGGCTTTGTCATTTAGGGCTTTGGGTGGATGGGGGGGAATTAGTCTACTGACCAGATCTTATCTGCTTGAGGATCAAGTGTTGCCATTGAAACCATACCTCAGACTGCCCGCCCTGGTTCTATCTTATCAACAAGGCATTCCACTGATCAGTTTCTGGGGTCCCTTGCCATCTATCAGTCCTCAGCTCCCCAGGGTGTTCCTGGTCATACCTCGTGATGTGGAGTAATTTTTATGCATCAGTCCTTGGTCCCCCAGGCGTGCCTGATCATACTTCGTGATGCACGTCCTTCCCAGAGCTATCAAGCTTTCTGCTCGTGGTTAAGATTTTACTATGACTGATTGTAAGATTTTACTATGACTGATTGACCGACATTTCTGACCTTTGTATAGGAATGCAGAACTGCAGGCAACAATAATGGTGGCCGAACAGGCCGCTTAAGTCTAACAGACCCACAGAGCTGTAGTTAATAATATTGTGTCACTATCGGCTCAGTGAGATTAACAAATGTAACCCTCCTCGAGCACTTATATGGGAACTCTATTCTGCTTGTTTTTCCTGTAAATTTAAAACCACCCTTTAAAAAATCATCTCTGGGCCCTCCCTGGTGGTGCAGCGGGTTAAAGCACAGCACTGAGAAGCTAAAGCCACTTCCTCATGAGTTCGATTCCCGCCTGCCCCAGAGGTGACCACATGGTGTGGCAGACCTCTCCTGACCCGCCTGCTGCTCCCCTCAGCAGTGTACTTCGTCGATCTGCCTGTTCTGCTCCCCACTCTGTCTCTGGTGAAGCCTTTCGCCGCCCCTGAGCCTCTGGCCTGTACCCCAGTTCTGTATGCACAAATAAATAAATCTTTTAAAAAAATCATCTATGAATTTAGATTAAAAAAATCTAGCTCTATACGTCATACCTTATTTCAAAATACAATTTATTGAGTTAAAAATAAATCTTAAGAAACATCAAAAATAAGAAGCAAACACTAAAGTATTAAAAAATACTGGTATTAGGCTTTACAAGGAGAACTATAAAGCAAAGTATATAATAAATTTTCATACATGGAGATTTTACATGACTGTGAAGCAATTTGCCTAAAGGAAAAAAACACTTACTGTCAATAGACAAAATCATGTTCAAACCATATTAATCAAAGAGGTGCATAATAAAACAAGGGACTATTTTTGGCCTAAAAATTTTGAAGCTATTTAAGACAATAGAAATATCCCATTTGACTAGGTTATGGGAAAATGAATAATCTCATCTACCACAAATGGGATGATAAATTGGTGTAAACTTTCTGAAGGAAATCGTGGCAATAAATATCAAAATCCTCTCTTTTTCCGACTCAGTAATTTCACTTTCAGAGTATGTTCGGACAAGCACACCGAGACATGAGTATTTTTAAATTATGATACATTCACACTGTTATGTGCATACAGCCATACACTCTGTTTCATGTCAAGGAATAACAAGCACAACACCCCAGAGAGCTAACAAATCCCGATGGATTTTCTAAGGCATGTATGTGTACACACGAGTGGTGTGAAAGGCAGGAAAGTTTACAGTGAAAGGTTAGGACACTGGGGAAGTTTTGGGGTCTGGGAATTGTTTGATGCCATTATCATTTTCCTACCAGGATGCTCTTGTGTTTCTATGTTTGATATGCGTTACTTGTGGGAAGTATACGGGGTATAAAAATACCTTGGGAAGCAGGAAGGAAGAGTCAAGGTAACCACCTTGGGGATGTTGTCACAGTACAGGGAAGTTGAACTTGGCAGTGGCAGGTGCCGCAGCCACCCTTTGCCTTTGGCCCCAGCTAGATCAGGTGTGGTGAGGAGGAGGAGCAGAGAAAAGAAAACAGAGCCCCATGTGGGCATGTGGGCACCTCTGGCTCCTGCCTGAGTTGACATGGCTCAGTGACTTCATCCCCCTAGCAGTGTGTGTGGACCCTGTGGGACTGCCACAGGGCAGTAGGACAGTCCTGGCTTCCCTCCTACCCCAACCCACAGCCCAGGTCTGGCTCCCAGAATCCAGCTACCAGATATAGTTGGGGCTAGGTCACACCAGGCAGAGGCAGCAGCTCTGGGTCACTTATTCTGGTGCAGCGGTCCTGGGGCACACAGGGGTATGCAGCTCTAGGAGACAAGGCTCAACTGAGTCACAGGACACTCAACAGCAAGGCGTCTCAGGGCGGCAGCAGCTGACTCTGCTGTTTGACTTGTGACTTGGAACCTGGCACGTCCCTCCCACAGCCAGGGTCTTCTGGGGTACAGAGGACTCTGTCTTTCATCCTCTGTCTTTCCCAGGGCCCTGGGCAAACAGACAAGCCACAGCACAGGCCATCTGGATCACCTGAGCCTGTAGCCCCTGTCTCAACTCTGGGCAAACAGCTTCCTCCTCTGCAGAAGGGCTGGTACAGGATGGTCTACCAGTGCTGTTGCAAAGGTGAGTTCTAGTGGGAAGGACAGCAACGGACATTCCTGGGGCCAGACATGGCAAGTAGTCCCTGCAGGTGGGTACTAATAGTTATCCTTCCTCTGGGTTTTGCCGAAAAAAATAAGATTCAGAACCCGAGAAGTCTGCCCAAGGGCACAGAAGTGAGGTAGTAGGGAGGAAACATCACCACCAGCAGCCAGAGCACACACCTTGACCCTGCGTCCCAGAATCCTTCTTGAACTCTGTAGCACCTCTGAGAGATTCTGCCTCCACCAGGCAGGTGGCCAGGGAAGGGCCTAGACAGGTGCCCGTGGGTCTAGGCTCTGAATAGCAGGAACCTTGAGAACCCCAAGAGCCACGTTGTGGAGTCAGGCCAAAACTGGGGCAGTCCCCCTCAGTCCCCCTCCTTCTGGGCACAAGCAACTTGGGCTCCGAGGTCTCGGTTCACAGGAGTCCAATTCCGCCAAAGGGAGAGGGGTCATTTCCGTCCAGAGAATGGCGGGGGGGGGGCTGGGGAACAGGCTGATCCCCCACGAACCCCTTCGACCTGTTTCTCAGAGCTTCAGTTCACTCCTCTGTAAGCAGGCGGATTTCGCCCACCCCACAGGGCAGTTGCGGCTGGGTAAAGCGCCCCAGGACCCCCGGCCAAGCTGGGGGTTCCACTGCTTCCAGAAGAACCCCAGACCGGTATCTCACACCCAGATTCCCCGCGGCGCCCCTTAGAAGGCCTGGCTGTGGGAACCAAACCCAGAGCCCCCGGAGCCGCGAGCTGAGGGGGCCTTCCTCCCTCGGGGCGTCGCGTCGCGAGGGGCTCACCAAGTGCAGGAGGAGGCGCAGGTGCCGCAGCCCGAAGGGACTTCTGAGAGTCGCGCTGGGAAGGCAGGCTGGTGCGGCCGGCCCTGGGCGGCGAAGAAGGGGTCCCACCCGCGCCAGTTCAGGAGCCAAGGCCAAGGCCAGCACTCGCGAGGGGAGGGGTACCGGGCAGAAGCGCGAGGGGCGGGGCGCGGGGCGCGGAAAGTCGCGCTAGGGGTGGGAAGGCGCTCGCTGGCCGCGACCTGCGCCGGCTCGCGGTGCGCCCTCTCGCGTCTAAGGTGAGAGGCCTGGCTCGGACCCTTCCAGAACGCAGGGTTTGGAAAGGCTCAATCACCACCTGACAGAAGGTCCTGCAAGGCTGAGCTGGTAAGAGGAAGCTCCCCTCACCCCCCTAATTTCACTCACACTCTCCACTCACTCAATCACGATTAATGTGGCAAGTTCCTACTGTGAAAAAACAAACACCCCCCCCCAATTTTTTTTTTTAATTCCAAGATCTTCCAAGAATTAATCTATAACCTCACTGCAATTTCGACCTCTCCTCTGTGGAATTTGAAACCAGTCAACATGGACTTTCCTGGTCAAGCCAGTGAGGTCATCTCCAAGTGGAGACCCCCGCCCGCACCCCTCCCAGTGCTTTTCTATTTGCTAGGTGGGGGCTGCCCATGGATGCCGGACTAGAGCCGCTTCGATCTCCACCGGCTAATGCTGTTTGTGGACACCGCCATGCACCATGGGGCAGGGACAGAGCTAACAAGACCCTTGCTCTCCCTGAACTCACAGTCCCTTTCCAGAGACTGCTTGTCCAGGTGGACACCGGCGTTTCAGCTAGCCGGGCCCCATCCTGCCTTTCACAACCCCAGACTTCCCGCCAGGCCATGCTCTTCTCCTCACTCCATTCTCCTCAGGCTGAGTGCCACCAGCCAGCCCCCTGGCTCCCCACCTGACCAACCCTGGTTTGGTCGAGGTTGTCTGTTTCCCTCTGGGCTAAGGAAAGGCCCCCGAAAAGAATAAAGGAGAGGCATGTTTCCTGACTGAGAACCTCTGTCCAGGTGGCTCTTCTGCCTCCTGGCACACCAGCACTGGGCTCCTCTGTGCCCTCCTAGCGTCCCTTCTGAGGGCCTCTGCCTGAGCACCAACCACCTGGACCTCTGTCCAGTGTCTGGACACATCGGCTTGCCCCAACCCCAGAGCCTCTACACTGGCCTCTCCTGGATGCTCTCTCGAATGCGAAGGGGCAGGCCTGTCTTCCTTCTGCTTGGCAGCTGGTGTCTCAGAGATCTGATGAGGAGCAACTATTCTGGGTTCCACAATCTGAAGAAGCCCCTCAGTCACTTCCCATCACAACATGCTGCTTTATTTCCTTTACAGCACTTCCTGTAAATCTGGTATATTCTTTGCCATTATTTGACGGTTCTTTTTCTCTTTCCAGGCAGGCGAGTTGTGTGATATATTCATTGTTATATCCCCAACACCCAATGATGACAAGTAGTAGGTGGTGTTTGTTGAATGACTTAATGCAAGTGTTTTGCGCCCATAGCAGGGATGGACACCCAGGATTGCAATGACCTGTCACTCCAGAGCTCTATGGTGCACTCTCAGAAAGGTCCACTTTTTCTTGCTGCTCCAGCCTCCAGGCCTCTCCTGTCCTTCACAAATGCTCATCTCTTGACTTCATGAACTTCCATGAGTTTTTCTCATCCTTTTTCTCAAGGGAGCCCCATGCATCCTTCAAAAGCTCCTACTTAAATTTCATGTCTTCAGGGAAGCGTGCCCTAATCACAGTTCATTAAGACTGAAACTCACTCCACCCCCATGATAGTGATGTCTTTTTTTTGGAGTTTGTGGATTTGGAGTGCGGGTTCACTCTGGGCAAGGTTTCACCAGAGCATCCCTTTCAGCAGAACATAGTGAGTTTCTCCACAACACAGGGACATTACTTATATTAAAAGAGCAGGTTTATAGGGAAAAGGACAGAGGAGTAAAGGACACGTGCATAGACACAAGCGGGCGGGAAGAGCTGCCCCGAGAGGGACAGGTTTGCTGAGAGGCCTGCATGGTCGCAGGCGGGCGGCCTTAGGAGAGCGGCCTCCACTCAGGGGGTCAGTGCAGAGAAGCCCCGGCAGGTGCAGCTCACCGGCAGGCAGGAGGTGGCCGCCCTGCGGAGGGAGAGAAGGAAAGCAGCACCTGCATAGGTACAGGTGGGCAGAGGACTGCTGTCCGGGTAAGGGCAGAGAGGGCAGAGGCTGCCCTGCTATAGACTCCTTCTCTTTGGGAGGGGCCCACTCCTTGTGAGCATGGGTTTGTTGTTCATTTTGAATAAACATATGCAGAATCTGAAAGGGATGGGGGATTCTACTGTGGGCTCAAGCTCCATAGCTTTATTATTGGGTCTGCGCTCTAGACAGTCCCTACAGCAGTTTGATACCAGCTTGGGTCTTCTGCTTTGTGATCTAGGCGTTGGCACCTAAGGATCTTAGTCGCCATAGCTGGGTCAGTGGCTGCGCTAATCCCTTCTACCCCCAACTCCTGTGTGAGTCAGTCTTGTGATGCTGCCTTTGGATTTTTCTATTCTTCCTTCCATCAGTAGGACCACAGAGGATGCTCTACTTTTTTTCATGCAACCCCTTCAACTGCAATTTCGTCGCTGCTTCTGGAATTACTTTATTGACCTATCTCTCCCACCGGCGTATGGGGGCAAACCTTACTTCCCAACCCTTAACGTAGTGCTTTGCATTTATAAGATGCTCAATAAAATTGTAGATTAACTGTATGTCAGAGGCTGGGAAAGCGGTGAGAGCTCAGCTTCAAAGCTAGAGTAGAAAAGGCAGAGTAAGAGGGGACAGAACCACTGAAAGAGTGGCGTGGTGAGTGGAGGCCTTGAAATGGACTTAGAAAATCAGGGAAGAGCCCATCCTCAGGGTATGTGGAACAGCACAGGAGCGAAGTGTAAGCAGAAAGCTTAGCAGCGCTGGCCTGAGCAATAATGTGCACCGGGGACCAGGGACCTGGCCAAGGACTTTTCTAGAGGAATCTTGAAGGCGCCTTCTGGTTTCTTCTTGCTGGTCATACTAAGGTGTGAGAGAAGAGAAATAAGCAAAATGAGGGATGCTCACTAAAAGGAATCAGAACTTGCTGGTTTTGAAAATCCCCAGCTTTTCTTGGTGTCAAATGACACTAAAATTAGCAAATAGCTTCCAAAGATGTGATGCAGGGCCATGCCAGGAAAAGACAGTCTAAAGATAAAACCAAGGGTGGGGCTGTGAAGTCCTCCAAAGGGCCCAAAGGGGAACCTCAGAATATTCCACTTCCAGCAGCTTAAAGCTGAAGCCCAATGGAGAAAAGGGCTTTTCTCAGAGAGGGCGGGCTGGACAGTGTCTAAAGGAGCAAGCCTCAGTAGGACTCACAGGAGACACAAAATGTGTTGAAAAGAATTATATTGGCAAACAGTGCCAGCTTAAATGGAAAGGATCAGAGATTGCACAAAAGGAGAGAGACCGCTGAAACCACCCCACCTCCCCCCAGTTCTACTGGCAAGAAGCAGTTCAGAGCAAGCCTGATTTCATGAAACGGCTGATTTGGAGAGCAGAACAAAGAGGCCAAAGGGGAGCCAAGAGCACCACGAATCACTATCAGGTCCGAGTCAGAATCCTAATCCAGGAACTCCCAGCATCTGCCCAGCTGGGTTTCAGAATTGCACGGGATAGCGAGGGTTCCATGCTTCGCATCCCCTCTGAGCAAGAAAATCCACCCTGGTCACCTTTTGCTGATCCCACCACTGTATATTGAGAGGATGCAGGCAGGGGGTGGGACACAGACAGTTTATCTCTTAAATTCAAAGACTTCAAATTTAGCAGATGGTCGTCAAGAAGCTCCATTACTCTTCTATATGCTGACTTGACCTAGCTGTGGAGGTTCTGGACTTTGAGCTGATCCTGTAGAAGGATGGGACTTTTGGAGGATGTTTGCCAGAAGTGCGTTCATTTTGGCCCTCCCTGGTGGCGCAACAGGTTTGCAGCCCTGCAAGCGAGCTTGCAGTGAGTTGATCCCTGAGCTTGCAGTGAGTTGATCCCTGCCTGCCCTGGAGGTGACCACATGGCGCGGCAGACCTCTCCTGACCCGCCCGCTGCTCCCCTCAGCAGTGTGCTTTGTCGATCTGCCTGTTCTGCTCCCCGCTCTGTCTCTAGTGAATCCTCTCACCACCCCTGCACCTCTGGCCTGTACCCCAGCTCTGTATGAATAAATAAATAAATAAATCTTTAAAAAAAATAAATCTTAAAAAAAAAAGTTGCATTCATTTTTCAAGTGGGAGGAAGATAAATAACTTGTGATAGTTTAAAAACTCCTTGACGTTGTCCCACCACCACCCAAGAGAAGTGAAATCCCCCTCCCCTTGGGCATGGGCTAGCTCCTGGCTTTTACCAAATGAGCTATGAGGGCAGTGACAGCGTGTGATTTCCGATCCGCCCTATCACAGGGCAGGTAGAGAAAGTGGGACTGAGGTCAGAAGCCAGTGCTTAGCACTATCCGATACTCTCTGGATGACTCATATGGACCCGCCACTGCCAGTTCTTTCGTTGTGCCAGGAAAGCCATTTCACTTCATCCTGTGTGAGACTCGCCGATGCTCCAAGGATTGGCTTGTGCCTGCCTTCTTTTGGAAAGTCTTCCCCAGCCTCCTCCTTTGACAACTCCCACATTCATTGCACATGTGAGGTGGTCCTGTCATTTTCCATGTGCTTGTCTGTCTCTCAACTGCAAGTCCCCAAGGGCTGGGACAGGGCCTCTTCACCTGTGTGTCTGGGTCCTGCATGGAACCTGCCTCATAAAAGGCACCATCAGGTGAGCGTGATGGAGGATATGCCAATAAGCAGCTTCTAACCTGGCTTTCTGCAGGCCCCTAGTGGCACAGGGGAGTGGGTGCTGGTCACATTGCCCTGGGTGCAGGGATGAGTCTGGCTCAGGATACATGGGCAGGTGACCATGGCTGAGAATGTTCTCTTTCTGTTGTGTAAGGGTGATTCAACCTGCCCTTTCGGGACTCAGGGGGTGAGTGTCCTGTGTACACTGCAAAGGAAACATTAACTTGGCAGGGTCTATGGCCTTTGGGTGCCTGGCTTGAACTTTCTTTTCAAATTTGGGCTCCACA